CCGGGCTGGAGGTAGCTCAGCTGTGGGGCGGCCATGCAGGGGCAGCTAGTGAGTGGCACGGGCGCGCGGGTCCGGCCCGTCTCCGCAGGATGTGCGCGGTGCTGCTGGGCAGAGCTGCTTTCCTGGCTAAGCAGCGCCGAGGGCTGTGGGTGGGCTGTGAGGTGGCCAGGCCCCCCGCCAGCGTGGGGCTGACGGCCAAGCCAGGCAGGATGGGGTGCAGAGGTGGAGCGAGCGCAGCTTTGTCCAGGAGAGTGGCGCAGGGTGGCCACGGCCTGGGGGCCCCAGCTGAGGGCTAGTCCCGGCTGAGGGACGGGCTGAGGGCTTGGCCCAGCGGAGCGCCCGGCAGAAGCTCATGGTGCCGGCAGGCGGCAGCAGCTGTGTCACACACACGCGCACAGACAGACACACAGAGACACGCACACAGGCTCATACAGACACACACGGACACATGCTCTGCAGCACACACCTCTGTGCACGTGGGTCTGCGGATGCATGCAGGGGTAAGGGGCAAGGAGCCATGCTTGACCCCGGCCGCCCCACGCTGAGCAGCATGGGGGTGCTCCCACGGGTGCTTCTCCCTCCGTGACGGTCAGTGACCTTCATGGACACAAGGACTTGGGGTTCCTCTGGCATATATGGGAGCAGCCCTGCCCTGCATGCGGTGTCCTCTCACCCCGCAGAAGCACCATCCTGGCACTAGAACCCCCCGCCCTGTTGAGTGCACGCAGTGAGCTCCGGCAGCCCAGCAGGCCCCCATGGCCCCAGCCTGCAGCAGTGGAGCTGAAGGACAGGTCCCACACGTGACCGCATGCAGCTGCCCTGAGCAGAGGTTGTCTGTCCATCTCTGGCTCTTCTGGGGCTGCCAGCTGTGCTGCCTGCAGCTCCTGCACTGGGGTTTCTGCCTGCTCCCATTCGTGGCAGTCTCCAAGCCATCTGGCATGGGTGCCAGCCACACATTTCCCTGTTCTTTGTCAGTGCCTGTGTGTGCACGGCAGAAAGCCGTAGTCACAAACCCTGCCCTGAGCAGAGGTTGTCTGTCCATCTCTGGCTCTTCTGGGGCTGCCAGCTGTGCTGCCTGCAGCTCCTGCACTGGGGTTTCTGCCTGCTCCCATTCGTGGCAGTCTCCAAGCCATCTGGCATGGGTGCCAGCCACACATTTCCCTGTTCTTTGTCAGTGCCTGTGTGTGCACGGCAGAAAGCCGTAGTCACAAACCTTCCTGGACCCTCCTTAGAATCCCCCCAGGAAAGCTCTGTTGGGCAAAACAAATCTCAGCAAAGTAGTAGTTGAGACAGCAAGGAGTTTAACCAGGTGCTCGCCCCATTCCGCGCACAGGTTTGTCACGGCTCTTTCCTGCCCATAATTGAGTTATGTGGAGAGCAAGCTCTCACAAGTGCCCAGGCCATGCCTGCCCCAGGAGACTGAGCTCACTCCTCTTCTGGGGTGGGTGGTGCTAGTGGTCCTGGTGGTGTCTCTTCTTACGCTGTGGGCCTGTGATGACAGTGGTGGTGATGGTGATCTTGTTCACGGTCAGCCCTCCTGTGCCATAAGTGTCGAGATGTGCCTCCCGTTTATACTCGGAGACTTGCTTGGTGGAGAGGAGCTCCCACACTGACACCCTCTGCTCCTGGAACTGGCCAAAAGTGATGTAGGAGCCCTCAGACTGGAGAAGATCCACTGTCTGCTGGGGAAGGGTTGCAAGATGCCTTTCTTTACTGTCTGTCACAATGCTGCTGGTGGTGCTGACCAGTTCCTGAATGGTGAGTGTCCCTGCACGGTACAGCTCCAGGAGCTCCTGCCTTTTCTCCTCAGGGATGTAGTCGGAGAAGAGCAGGTCCCACACAGACACCTGCCTCCCCTGGAACTCATCCACTGACATCTCAACCGTGGTGGACTTCAGGGTCTCTTCCCAGGTCCTGTTCTCCTGCAGGTGGGTGTGCTCAGCTTCTGTGACTGCTGACTCTGCTCTTGTACTACTTGCATTTTCCAATTGCTCTGCCCTTGCTGCTTCTGCCTTGGTTACAATAGTGCTGACAATGGTTTTCACCTGATCAAGGGTTAATTCTCCTGCCTGGTACAGCTCCAGGAGCTCCTTTCTGTTCTCTTCAGGGATATACTTGGAGTGAAGCAGATCCCACACAGAGACCTTGTGGCCCCGAAACTCTCCGACCTCCATGTCAACGACTGTGGTTTTCAAGGCTGTTTCCCATGGTTCTTCTTTGGGGGAGTCAGCATCCTTCTCTCCTGCCGCTGGCACAGTGTCCTTGTCAGAAGTCTTGACTGCAATCAGCAATTTTCTGCTTGTAGCTTCTTTTTTCTTAATGAGAGTGGTGACAACTGCCTTTCTTTACTGTCTGTCACAATGCTGCGGGTGGTGCTGACCAGTTCCTGAATGGTGAGTGTCCCTGCACGGTACAGCTCCAGGAGCTCCTGCCTTTTCTCCTCAGGGATGTAGTCGGAGAAGAGCAGGTCCCACACAGACACCTGCCTCCCCTGGAACTCATCCACTGACATCTCAACCGTGGTGGACTTCAGGGTCTCTTCCCAGGTCCTGTTCTCCTGCAGGTGGGTGTGCTCAGCTTCTGTGACTGCTGACTCTGCTCTTGTACTACTTGCATTTTCCAATTGCTCTGCCCTTGCTGCTGCTTCTGCCTTGGTTACAATAGTGCTGACAACGGTTTTCACCTGATCAAGGGTTAATTCTCCTGCCTGGTACAGCTCCAGGAGCTCCTTTCTGTTCTCTTCAGGGATATACTTGGAGTGAAGCAGATCCCACACAGAGACCTTGTGGCCCCGAAACTCTCCGACCTCCATGTCAACGACTGTGGTTTTCAAGGCTGTTTCCCATGGTTCTTCTTTGGGGGAGACAGCATCCTTCTCTCCTGCCACTGGCACAGTGTCCTTGTCAGAAGTCTTGACTGCAATCAGCAATTTTCTGCTTGTAGCTTCTTTTTTCTTAATGACAGTAGTGACAACAGTTATCATCTGCTCCAGAGTTAATACCCTTTCACGGTACAGCTCCAGAAGCTCCTCCCTTTTCTCCTCAGGGATGTAGTCGGAGAAGAGCAGGTCCCACACAGACACCTGCCTCCCCTGCAGTTCACCAGCTGGCACATCAATGGTGGTAGACTTCAGAATGTTATCTAGCTGTGCATCTTGCGTTGAAAAATCGTCTCCATTTTCCTCTGCCCTTGTCACTACCTTGTGTGGACTTCTGGCATTTGCCATGAGTGCAGCATTTGCAGCTTCTGATCTGTTTATGATGGTGGTGACCACAGCAGCCACCTGTTCTGTGGTCAGTATCCCTGCTCTGTACAGCTCCAGCAGCTCCTGCCGCTTCCCTTGAGGGATGTATTTGGAAAAGAGCAAATCCAACAAGGAAATCTTTTGCCCCTGGAACTCACCAGCAGTGACATAGATGGTTGCAGATTTTAAGGACTTTCTCAACTGTTGCTCATGGGAGTGTGCATCCTCAAGTGGTTGTGATGCTCCCACCTCAGTGTTGGGTGTAACTGTGGCTGAGCTCAGGTCCCCGTTTTCCATTTCTGCCCCAGTAATGATGGTGGTGAGAATGGTGATCATCTCCGGGATGGTCACTGTCCCCACCTTGTACTTCCTCAGCAGCTCCTCCCTCTGGTGATCAGGAACGTAGCGGGAGAAGAGGAGCTCCCAGACAGTGACACTCTGGCCCTGGAAGAGCCCCACGCTGATGGTGGTGCGGGCAGCCTGCAGGGCTTTCCGGGCATCCTTGTTCAGCTGGTAGAGTACCGAGCCCTTGTCCATCACGTGGAGCATGAGAAGCCCTGTGTCCGGGTCGGGGACACAACGGCGGAGGAGCTGTGTATAAGTGAGGTTTTCATGTGTGTTGGGGTCAAAGCAACTTCTTGTTTGATTCTTGGGGTTAGAAAGAAACTGGCACATCTCCTGGTCAAAGTAGCCACGCTGGTAGGCCACCTCCACAGGGACGCGGTGGCAGTGCACGGGGTCGATGATGCCGCCGGTGGCGATCTGGGCCTCAAGCAGGCGGATAGCGTGCTCCTTGACAATGAACTCTTTCTTCATGGCCTGGAAGAGGGAGATCCTGTGTCCTGTGTACGGCTCTGTGTACCCTGTCACGGCTCCCTCTGCCGACAGCAGCTTCTCATAAAAATCTCTGCCTATGAGTCCTGCAGTCAGTGCCTCTTTCACTGATAGTTTCTCATTTGTCACGGGGTTGGTGAGGAACCCTGAAGCAGCCTGTGCCTCCAGAAGCACCAGGGCCGTACCTGGTGTCAGGAGCCCCCTCATCATGGCATCATAGATACTCATCTTCTTATTCATGGTCTGGATGAAGACTCCAGCTATGAAGTTACTCCCACCCATCTCTTTGTGTCCACCTGCAGTCAGGTTGCTTCCCATGTTGCTTGACTTGTTCTGAGGTGGTCCACTCATCTTCTGCATTGTCTCTGCAGAACAGTCCTGCTACTGTGGGGCACCGTGTTTTTCTGAGGAGAGAGAAAGAAAAGAGTTGGTAAGACACAGGTTCTTGTGCAGTTTTCGTGGTGTGTGTGAAGAAAGCCATTTCCCTGGGTATGGTAGCAGGAGCCCAGAGAGAAGCAAGGAGTGGGGCCCGGGGCTTTGCTGCCACCCCCCTCTCTCGGCAGCAATCTCAGGGCCACAAGTGCCCCTTGTCCATCTCGAACAATGGATGAGAGCTCTCTGGAAGCAGCAGTGACAGCCCAGCCAGTGTGTTTGCCTGCGTGGCATGCTGTGCCCCTCCCAGCTGCAGTGACAGGCTCTACACACCTCTGTGCAGCTGGTAGTCTTGGTGCAGAGATGCAGCAGTTTTGTGACCAGAAGGCTTGGTGCCTATCCCAAGGAGTTCCTGCACTCAGGGCAGGAAAACAGAGAGTGCTGTGAAGGGGAGCAGACAGGGGAAATAGAGCTGACCAGCATCTCACAGGCACCTGCAGGCAGAGAGGTTTGAGTACCATCACAGAGTAGCAGGTTTAGTGGGAGACATGCACTCTGCAAAGAAGCATCGTATCAGCAGCATGGATAACTTCGCTCCCCTCTGGGCCAAGAAAGAGCAGTGACTTCCTGATATGACTGCCACCAGCGACTATCAAGCTGTGGAGAGGTGCTGGCTAGTGCTGCAAGTCATCTTCCGCTCTTGTCCACTTAGACCATCACGCTGCCTTACTTCGTGCTGGTCATGGGTAGGCTGTGAGTGTGGTGAGACAGTGCTAGCACCGAGCAGTGTGGCAGGCACAGCCTGGCTCATGGCTGTTCATGGAGATACTTCTTCTTGCTGTGTGATCCCGCACCACCGTGGCATGACACAGGCCATGGGAATGGTCTTAGCAACAGATGAGTGGCTGGTAAGACCCACAGGCAGCAGTGGGTCCCAGCTGGCAGAGACCTTCTCTAAGGATGTGCCTCTGCTGAAGTTGAGATGTGCCTGGGTTTCTGCTTGTTCTAAGGCCACTAGGTTGGCAGAGCTCCCAGCCTCCATCCTGTTACACTCTCCTGTCCTCCAAAACTGGGGTCTGATGCCACAGGTGTGATGGCACCGGACCTGGCCCTTGCTGACTTCTGAACTGCGCATGGGCATTGTCCATGGGAGGGCTACTCGGCTGGCGCCAGGCACCATGCTGGGGACCATTCTAACCAGTTCCAGCAACTGGGGACAAGGGCAGAATCAGTGGGAACGTTTGTCTGACTAAGTTCTCTCTCTGCAGCAGGGCCAAGTTGCTCTCCTCAGGTATTTAGGGAAACCGCTCTAGGAACAGGATAGTAGAGAGAAATGCTGCCTCTGGCTGAGCCCTCCAGCACACAGCCCTCCGGACATCTGTGCTGTCTATACCACCACAGGCTACAGACCTCCACGGACCTCTGCGGTCACGTCTGCAAGTCCAAGTCTGGTGCCAGCCTCTACAACATCCCGTGGCAACGCGGCCTGTGTTTTAACCACGCTTCACAGGGGAAGTATGTTCACTGGGAGCTTCTAGCTCCTGTGCCACAAGAGGTCATGAATGGTCAGTCTTTGTTATTAGCTAATTGTTATGTAGATAAAATGATAGATAAAATTATACATATAAAAATAAAAATTAGACAGCAGTGAGGGACTAAGAGAAGGTGCCTCAGGGAGCATGCTTTAAGTGGTTGCTTGCAGTGGTCTCTCACATTCAGGCATGTACTTTGCAATTAGTATGACCAGTCGCAGTCAATCCAGCGGGTGCCCTCGCTCCCTCACCCATAAAAATATGGCACCGTTAACCAAGATGCCAGTTGTGTTGTCTGAAGTGTTTCAGAGGAACACAGCTGTGCTCTCGAGCAGACATCAGAACAGCCATGCAGAGTCAGGCCAAGGGTCTGTGTAGCCCAGGGTCTTGTTTCCATCTCGAGCCACAAGTGGACAACAGGGGAGGATGAAGAATGGGGCAACATGTGCAATATTTCCCCGGTTTCTATGTCAACCTCTGACTATTTTCAGCTCAATGGATTTCATGAGCTGGACGCATTTTGGGTCTGTGTAGTAATCCTTGAGGGATGTCTCCCCTGTGGTCACCTGGCCTCTTCTGGAAGTCCTGTAAACTTTCAGCATCCACAACAGTGTGTGGTGATGAGGCCACAGTCTTGTAAAAATAGCAAAAACGAAACCCAAAACATTTCTTTGGGAACACCCATCTCCCATAAACTACAGTGACTGACGTTAATGATATGTTTAACTCATTATCAGGGTCACAGCTTAATTCTCTGACTGTTTACCTAACTGGTCTAAAAGTCTCTGAGTCATTGCTTTTGATCCATTTAAATATTGGATTGATGCTGGTGTAGATGGATCGTGGTAGGGGAGAGGTACAACCCAGCAGTTACAGACCAGCCCCTGCCTCTTTGGGGACCCTGCCCATGGCTTCAGGCTCTTTTACAGCCAGTGGCTCTGGTCCACCTTGTGGCTCCAGCCCTAGAGAGCAGCTTCTCTGCCCTCCCCAGCCTGATGCAGCTGAAACCTCACAGGAGGTGATGGGCTGGTTGTGCTGTCTGCTCAGGTGGCACGCCGTCCGGGACAAAGCGGGGTGCTGTCTCACACCCTGGAGCAGGCAACACCTATGTAGGACATGGATGTCGTGTAAACACCCTATACTGGAAAGACATTGCCCAACCGCAAGCTATCATTAGCTGGTCTCTAATCAGACCTTCTGATGCTGGGGCTTGGCTGCACACGCAGCTCCCGGGGCAGGAGCTGGCTGTCCTTTCAAGGTGTCGCAGCAGCCCAGCCCAAGAGGCCCCAGTGGAAGCGGTTTTCCAGCTGGAGTGAGCAGGGGTGGCCCGGCGGTGCTGTGGTCCCCAGTCCTGCCTGCACCCCGGGGAGTGAAATCGTGTCAGCCCCTCCAGCCTGGCACTCACGTCCCAGCCGAGACCCACCGCCCACGTCAGCAGCCTCCTGTCTCAGGTGCCTGCAGGCTCAGGCAGGTCCCACAGCTCTGGTTGCTTCCCTCCCATATTCCAGTGTCCCGATCTGCTCGGCTGAAGTGTTGAGGACACCAAGCGCATTGCATGGAGCAGCAGCTCCATCCAGCCCTGCTGCTGCTCTGTCACTTTGTCCCTTCTTGGAAAGGACCAAGTCCTGCCTGGAGACCTCCTGCTCACCAGTCCCCAGGGCCTTAGCAGCTGCCCTCTGAACGCTAAGTTTTGGGGTAGAGACAAGGTCCCCGCATGCCTTGCAGGCCCCTGGTATCTGCACAGAGGGTGCCACGCCAAAGTGGGGCTGTGTGGCAGCCCCAGTGCACCCTGCAGATGGGCTCTGTCCTACCTTTTGGGCACGTATCCGGAGCAGCTGGCTCCCTGGCAGCCTCTGGTCCTCCTCCTCCCGCTGCCCAT